ATATATATCGGGAACGTGCTAAAATTCACTCAGTTTGTTAGAAGGAATATAAGTGGGCATAAATATTAGCGGAGTATTAAACTTTAAAAATTTTCTTAGAATGCTAGTAATCATTGGTCAACACTTATTGAATACATTACAAGCGCGTGCAATTGGTATGATATGATATTGTGATGACGTCATGGGTGGTGCTTAGTGCACCACCCCTATTTTGTATACTACTCAGCAATCCTTTCATCTTTTCTTAGGACCGGGCTAGCTTATGTTGTTGATGATTTTCAGTTGCTCTTTAGAAAAGAGGATGTTCTGGCGGCTGTAACTTCGTCGAAATTCAATAAGTAAATTCAATAAGTGCACTCTTTGAAGTGTCTTTGTCATTCGTGTTTGGTCTTCAGTAACTGAGGATAAAATCCGGAACGTTACGAGACTTGTTCTCTTTTAACTTTTCTTTTTATTTCACCCTTTTACCGGATATACTATTTAAAGAGCAATAATGTGAAGTTAACAAAGGCTAATAAGAGACCTTTACAGGCTTTTAAAGTTAGGCCTATATAACTATAGTATACAGCTGCAGGTATATCATATTTGGTAACAAAGAAGAATTTTGAGAAATATATGAATAAAGTCATATTAATGAATGCAGACATATACTAGTATTTAAACTGAGCAGTAGGTCTAACTATGGCTGAAAGATTTTATTTACCGTGCCCAGTCCCTCCTGCTCCTGATCACTTTATGACATTTTTTTTGAAAATGTTATATGACATCATGTTTTTGATATTTTCTTTGAAGTTATTCCAAATGTCAACTCCTTTACTGCATGGTGAGCATAAACGACTGATCATTAGTTCGATTTGAATGAAAATGATAGTGTCACTAATAATGACTAATTAATAATAAATATAATAATATCTCTTTGAATGAAATTCTTTTGGCTTTAAATTTTGGATATTCATTATTGTTGAGTTCATGGTCGATATAGGTGTTACCTCATATTACTGACTGCCACGAAAGTGAGAAATGGATAAACTAAAGCGTAATAATTCAACTTTAGAGGGCTTTGGTTTGTATAATGCACATGACGAATTTTCACTATTATACATGGGTTAGGTTTTAATTACATTTTTTAGGTTTTAATTACAGAGTTAGTGTTTCGTCAATTATGGCAACGAAAAAATTGCATTTCTTAGTAGTTTAATGTGTTCATTGTTGACTTTGAGATTTATGTGAATTGTTTTCATGATCATTGCTATAAATCAAAACAGAATAATTTAAGGGTTTTTATTGGATAATCTGCTGCGGTTAAATTTAACGATTTAATTGCCGGTTTTGTCAACTTCTTGCATAGTTTTAGGAAATATATTAGAGAGAAAAGCATTGATTTGTATATCATCTGCAAATATTTTTTGCTGTGTTGGTGTAATGTATTCAGGTGAATATGATGCTTAAGATGTTACTCTGAGTGTATATCCACACCGGGCAAGCTTGAAAAATATGCCTGACCACGGTGGGAATCGAACCTACGACCTTTGGAATACTAGTCCAATGCTCTGCCAACTGAGCTACGCGGTCTGGTCGGTTCGAGTATGTGATATTTCGGAACAGAATCTAGAAATATCACATACTCGAACTCATCAACAACCTAAGCTAGCCCGGTCCTAAGAAAAGATGAAAGGATTGCTGCTGTCAAACCTGACAAGGGCAATGTAGTTGTCCGGCATATTGGAAAAACTGTCTATAACAAGAAAATTTCGGACCGCAGTAATTGGCCTCAAGCTTTCGAGGTTTCCCAACGTGTTTGGTGAAGCTTCTAAATAAAAAAATAAAAAACATTTTCGAACGACTGACTGATGATCTCTTTACTCCTGTATATCAAATATACTCATATAACACTAGACTTTCATCAAATCTTTGTTTTTCTTTGCCGAAAATAAGAACAAATTTTGGATTATTTAAGGTGGCTCGATACAGTTTTCAAAAATTCAGTTGTTCAACACTTTGACATGTTCAAACTACGCATTTTTAGGATTTATTCAGCAGATATTGGGGTTTTTATATATTTTGATAACTCTACTTTCAAATTATATTAGTTTTAGTAACAGATAGTTCGTTGCTATGACGACATACGTGTACGAAATTCACTCCGAAATGGTCTATCGCCTCGTATACTTGGAAAAGAAGCATGGTGACCCCCAATTTTTTTTCGTGCATTATTTTACTTGGACGAAAAGCTAACATTTAGCAAAATATAAAAAAATTCTGTAATGCCATTTTTTTGGAAAATGCGAAAATGTCATATTCGTCGGTAAAATTTTTTGGCATTACAGAATTTTTTATTTTTTGTATAATGAACGTTTTTAGCGGTGCAATACAGCATGCAAAATTTGAACATAGAGCACCAGACAAAATAAAGAGATATAGCGCATTGTGTTTCTAAAATGGAAAATTCTAATGACATCAGCAATTGACATAAAACGCTATAGAACACGCGCAATGGCGTGATATGGCGCGACCAACTGCTCACGTCAGGTCATTTTGGAAGTTCTTTTCATTTTGTTAATCAGTTTCCGCGATCTGCGCGTAAAAATGGTCACCCGGCCGTTTTGAGTTCGCGATTCTTGAGCAGGGTTCTTGTGATAACTATATCGAGCCACCTTAATATAAGATATCAGGGAGTAAAAGCATGGAATGTGCTGAGTGAAGCTGATAAACAGATGACATTTTTACCGACTTAAGAGAAAAATTAAAGCTGCTTTTATTAATCAGTATTAATTTTTTTTATCCCTAAAAATGATTGTCTTTTCTTTTCATTTCTCATTTTTCTTTACTCGAATTCTTTAAAAAATCGTAATTATTGATTAAATTAATTGTGCTACTCGGCCCCCATGCAGTAGTTAGCCTTTTGGTTATTTTTGGGTGTCAGCTCCTTTATTTTAAATATATATAACTAACATTAATAGATAAAAAAAGGAATAATGTAAAACAAAAAAATGTAATTGTGTGATTATTATGGAGCAATAAATTGTCTTGTCTTGTAAATTGTCTTGTCTTGTCTTGTCTTGTCTTGTCTTGTCTTGTCTTGTCTTGTCTTGTCTTGTCTTGTCTTGTCTTGTCTTGTCTTGTCTTGTCTTGTCTTGTCTTGATGACCTGCATGAACTTTCTAAAATCCATAAAAAAGCAATGTTCCACTTAGGCTAATTCTTTATCCCTCTTCTAAGTCCAATATCGTTTGACACATACTTGCATGATCAAAGATTATTTTTCCTCTCGTTCCAAGAACTGTTTTAAGCTTATAATCTGCTTAATTCTTCTAACTTGGTCATGACCTTTACTAACATCCCGATCGACGAAAATATTGACATAATGACTAACCGCATATTTTCCAACGCTGCTTGCTTTCACGGGAACACCGAGTCACCGACACACCTTTTACTTTTCAAGATCATATTCCCATTGGTCAATTCCGTGTCATATGTTGGATCAACCTGTCCGTCATTTGCACAACCGAGTATCGTCAGTCGGAACACTTACTGGGTGTTGCCGTCTCTTAAGGAAAAACTCTTAAAACAGGCAACGAGGACAGTCATCCCACACTCACAAGAGTTCTTTAGCGCCTCAATACCATGCATGAACTGGCCAAACAGCTTCCATTGATTACTTCAAAATTCTTTCATCCTGCGCCAACTGTGATGAACTTCAAACTCGCGAAAGTCTTTTACAGTTTCCAAGTTCAAACTTCCCTTGAACAAGCAAGGTAGTTCTGTCCCTCTTTTCCTACTTGCTCTATATTCCCGCCCCCACTCTCATGCACTTCCTTGTTTATGTCTACTGTATAATTTAATACCTTCTAATATAGTTATAATATTAACTTAAACTTATTCACAACCCTTAATTGTCTTTGTAATTTTACTGTTAACGTGCACTGCACAATAGGCAATTCCAGCTTTTAGTTTATGGGTGCAGCAGAAGGGGGGGGGGTTGCTGATTATGCTGAAAAATATAATGGGGCCATGAATACACGGAGTGATAGCTTATACTTGTAAACATTGAAATATTTCGGTTGTTTCGGCAGTTTTTATTGCAATTTTTCAGCATAATCAGCAATATGATACCTTACTTCCCGTCAACACCTGCGGGCGTATATTGAAAGCTGGACCTGTAATACGTTTATATATATAAATTTGCGAGTAAAGCTCTATTTGAGTATTATGCTGGGATCTTATTTTTATTATAATAATGCGCTTCCCGCCCGTAAAATCGCTCGCCAGTGTATTGGTTTGCTCATTATAGTGCAGTTGTAGATTTATTTCGTACATATAAATATTCGTAGCATATACATTTACAGGGGGGTCGGGGAGCCATGCCCCCCCCCCCCACTTTTTCGGTGGATAATAAAAAATTACCGGATAAAACCAAGCCTGCTTGCGTGGAATAGCTCCCGTGCTATCCTGCAAAAAAATAGGCGAAATATAGCACACTGCTGGGAGCTGGCAAAATATTAGTCCGTACTGAGCAACATGTGTGCATGGGTGTAAACTTTAGTGTTAAAGAGTATAAAGCGATACCTGAATCGACCAATACCATCAACCAAGTCAAGAGGGGGTTGGAAACCTGATATCCGCCCAAGTTGCCGCAACTTCTTGGCAGAAGTGTCTTGTGGCAGAAGTGTAAATATACACGTAAACTTCAGAGCATGGCTCGTAAAATACGAGGTAAATTACACATCAAATCTATTTTTTAGCTACGTCTTCCTCAATATCATGCACTTTAAAATGTTTTACTGATCCGGCTGGTAGACGTAATGGGTTGTAAACTGTAGGCGGTTAATAACTTATCTCTTTACGTCATAAGTACCCATGCAGGAAGTTATATTTATGCATTAGCCTAATATAAACAGTTATTGGCTACACTGTGTACATCATTGCTACATTGTGTACATCATTGGTACATCGTCAAGCGCTACACTTGCCGCTCACATAGTGGATCACATCTGCTACGTTATGGCCAATCTCAGTGAAGGAGGTCCTCTGGTCGTATTTGGTTTCATAACTTTACCACAGAAATACGAAGTCGAAAAAGATGTCGCCATGAGTTTTGTAGCTTTAATGTCTTTCGTTGCTATCATTGCGAATGGCATTTTATTACTTGTGATTATCAAAGACCCGTTTAAACAATTGCGAACCATTACAGCCATTTTGCTGGCATTTAACTCAGCGACCAATTTAGGCAGTTCCCTGGTGTTATTTCTTGACAATGTGTTTTATTGGTTTCATGGAAAACTTTCACCAGAATTGATCATATACTTCTGTTCATTTACTACGTGTCTGTACATCATTGGTAACTTGTTACACACAATGAATACATATGGTGCGATTGTTGTTGCTGTCCGTTATGCTATATTGGCACCCAAAGTGCGGAGGTATTTGGTACAATCTTTGATTTTAACTTGGGTGGTAATTCTATTAGTGGTCATCATTCCTCCTTATACTTTACCAAAGGACAAAGTACCCATTTATGTAAAAGGTATATTAACACTGATATGTGTTCTGCTAGCTTTGTTGGCGATCACGTTTGGTTGCATTTATACCAAAATATTTCAAACGTTATACGCACGTAAACAAAGACTTTCACTATCCTTTCATCTCAAACGTTCAACAGTTCGAGGTCGAGAAATAAACAAGAACAATCATAATGTCGTCAAGACATTATTTGTACATGTTTTGTTCTTTATGATAGCTACAGCTCCTGGCAGTCTTATCGTTCTAGTTTTCCTGCATTGTGCAACATGTGATCCTGTCAAACTTCAACTTGCAGCCCTCTTCACCATTCCAATTATATATTCTCCAATGGTGTTCTTACCGCTTCTCTGGCTGTTCAGGCTGAAGCAATACAAAAAAGCTATGATTAAAACACTCTGTTTTTGGCGAAGTGACATTTTTATGCGAAGAAGATCCAAAACTTTGAACATTCAGGGGAGCACATTAAACCTGGAGCACATGTACCGGTCAGCATCAGAAAGCTGTACAAAAGAGCTGGAAATTGTATCTGTGGCTGTATGAAAGCGTTTAATTTACATCAAGTACACTGAAATGTCAACATAACCTGTCATCGGACTATTGATATATAATGTATATAGCTTGTATACTGTTCCAACCGTCATGCTCAGCTTGTGTCTAATCACGCACGGCTTGAGCTGTAGCGAAACAAGATTATGTCTGATCTGCCAAGACACACGGAACAGATAAAATGGAAACTACCTTAATTTCGGCTGCATGTCGGATTGAAGTAACATCTTGGGCTCATCGCAATTGGCTCCTGTGGACACATCACAACCCGGCCATGCCCTTTTCTCGTTTGTACGAACATGTAATTTGTATCAGCGAAGTTGTATAAATAAATAAGAAAATCAATGGACCCGTCCCATACCCAATATATAGTGATAATTGTTTGCGTAGAGAACATAAAAATGATTTGCGTTTTACCAATACCTATAACCATGAGACAGTTATGGAAAAGGAGATTTGTATATAAACTGGAACTAAGTTGTGGAATGATTTTTCATATCTAATAAAATGTAAATTAATAAATATATAACTGTTTAAAACTGTTTAAATATCAATCCATGTGGATACTAATTTTTATTTTATATAGTTTCTGCATTCTCGTGAAGTGTTGCGCTGAATAATCTTCCAAGTTAAAGTAAAGCTCTCCCTGAGAATTCTTTGACATGCATGGTGATAATACAGAGGGTTGTAAACAATTAATTTTATGCACCCTGAATTGCATGGAATTTGTTTCCCGAAACCGAGAAAAATGAAATTATTGAATTTGTATCTTGGAAACGTGATTTAGATCTCTTCCGTGATTGCCGGTAAATTTTGTCCATAAATAATTTTCTAATTTTACAACCCTTAACAGCAACAAAATTTGCAAAATATAAAAATAAAAACACACTCCGAATATTAACATCCCGTGATAAAGATTTCTATGGTGCAAATTTGCATGTGGATGTGATTGAATGCGCTTTACATTACAGTGAAAAAAATAGTGTCCTAATTTGTTCCGCTTCTGTAGTTTGTTGGGATTTACTGTCATTTGTTCTGTATTTCTGTAGCGATTACCAATTTATCGACAAGTACCGCGGTAAAACTTAGTTTTCTCTATTTTTAAATATGATAATTTGTAGCAAAGGGAAATAAGTTTCATTGCATAAAAGGTACGAAATTTAAATTTTATCGCAGTATTTGCCGATAAATTAAATCAGTAATCGATCGTTACAGAAAAACAGAACAAATTACAATAAATCACAACAAACTACAGAAGCGGAAGTGGGACACTTTTTGCATTTTCACTGTAAGTCTACCTACTGTGCATAATTACATCCAACTGTACATGATATCGTTTTCTAATTGTGTTTATCCTAACCCTCTGATCCTAACCAATCCTGTCTACTTTTTCTGTCCATAGTCTATGTCAAGATATGATGGTCTGGAAACTAAACAGAAGTGTTGCTATATGTTTTTGTTTATGTTAATTTGCGCACTGTCACGGTGATTGATATACTTTCGTATAATTAAGTAACCGTCACTAGGGATAGCTGAGATGAAATGCACACAGTCACGATGGATATTTAATGAAGTTGAGACAAAGGATTTGTCGGCACGCTGAGGTGCAGTTCACAAACAAAGGTCCTCTATTTTGTGGCTTTGAAGTTTTCTGGGATTCCAGACCATCATATCTTAGACTATGTTCTATGGGAGCCGGAACATCTCGTAAGTGAAAGGCCCTTTATTATTAATGACATTAATGGTAAATTCAAGGTAATATTTCGACGTTATTTCAAAGTCGTTGTCAAACCTTTACCTAACTAATTAAAAGCGTTCTGAGATATTTGTAGGTAGATCTTTGACGTAATCAGCAGAGAGGTGAGAGGAATAGCAAAGGATTATATTTACAATTACACGAGTTCTAGCCTGCGTAGCGGCTCTCAGAGAAAGTAGAGCCTGCACGAAAACCGATGCTTTGCCGTATTTACTCGTTCTCTCAGAGGACGAGAATCTACTTTCTCTGAGAGCCACTACGCAGGCTACACGAGTTCTTGCGCACTCTGAGACATTTTGTCTCGTGTCTGCATGGTGATATAATTAATCAAAAGCGTGCTCAACACATCCAAACTAACACTAAAGTAAGTGAATTTAACTGATTTCTCAATTTGAGACAATATTCTAGCAGTTTAACAATTATTTGACGAATCGAATAAATACAGTACATCTCTAACGACTCCATCAATAGACGTGAGTCTGTGTTGACGACCGCGCCTTGATAAAACATTTAAATCGTTTATTGATTAAACCACATTTTAAAAAAAGCTAAAACGTGATCAGGAAATATCGACTTGTCACATATGCAGTAAATAAAATCTTTCGGCCATTATTACTGCAGCTATATAAATACTATAGAGTCTCAGTAGTCTGTATGCATTCTTTAGTATGACTTTATCCATATATTTTTCAAAATTCCTCTTTGTTATCAAATATATGATATACTTGTGTACTGTAGTTCCAGGAGGTTCCGAGAGGTGAGAGGAATAGCAAAGGATTATATTTACAATTACACGAGTTCTTGTACACTCTGTCTCGTGTCTGCATGGAGATACTACACGAAAACGTGCTCGAATCACATCCATGCAAACTAACACATAAAGTAAACGAATTTTATTTCTTAATTTAAGATAATAATTCTAGCAATTATTTAACATTTATTTCACGAATCGAATAAATATGTATCTCTATTGTTATTCTATCATGAATCATGAAAAACAATCTTTTTATGTGAGCTGGTCGTGTATCACGTAGTCAATGGATGACTAGCTACTTGCATTTAAAAATTTATACAAACGAAAACCTGGCTTTATAAAAAGTCCTGTAAACACATATATTATGTACATAAAGTATAAAATTAAAAACAAGCTTAATCATGTGAGTGAAAAGCATGAAAATGTGACTAAAATGACCAGGAATATTAAAGAAAAACAATAATAAAAGGGAATTGCCTAATCAATTTTACTACCTCAACTGAAGATTTAAAAGAACGTCGATAACAAATATAGCTAATAAATTTCATGAATATTTTATAAACATTGGTCCACAAGAAGCAAATAAAATTACCGCGAGTTCTGTTATTATATTTCAAAAGTATACCTTATCAGGAATTATAAAAGTGCCCTATATAGTTATATCACTGAAAACGAGTTGTTAGATGAAATACTATTTGAAAGATTCTGGCTATGACGAAATCAATGTGTGGAATTGATAAATGTCCTTATGTCGACCAATTCGCATTCGGAAGAATAAATGAGACGAATAAAGCGTTGCCACGCAAGGGAAACCGGAACTAGAATTATCGAGATAAGACATATAAAATAGCATATAAAATCTACATAAGATTTCAGACGGATTTCCGTCCTCGAATTTAATATTCAGACGGATTCTCAGAGACGAGTTTCGTGAATTAACATGATTCAAAAGTATTCTTTGGCAAACAGAAAGCAAATCGTAAAATATAATCAGGAAGAATCCAAATAAATGTATATATTAATCACTGGTGTCCCTCAAGGGTCTATCTCTGGGACCCTTTTGTTTTTACTCTATATCAATGATATTCAGAACTACAGTGGTATTATCTCCTTTATCTTATTTCTGGATGATATACAAATGCTTTTCACTCTAATTCCTGTCCCAAAACTATGCCAGAAGAAGTTGATAAAACAATTAAATCGTCAAATTTAATTGAAAAAACCCTGAATTATTCTGTTTTGATTTTATATAGCCAATAAAAAACAATTATCTCACATAAATATCAATGTCAACAATCAAAACTTCAAACTAGTAAAAAATTCACTTCTTAAGGTGCCATAATTGATGTAACTCTAACTTGGTAGAACCATAATTAATTGACTTGGTGTCTAAAAAACTTCTCAAATCATATGACACGTATAATAGCGAAAATTCGTCATATGCATTATACAAACCAAAGCCCTCTAAAATTCATTTATGTCGCTTTAGTCTATCTATATCTCACTTTCGTAGCAATCAGTGATATGAGGTAGCCTAACACCCATACCAAACATGTACTCAAAAAATAATGAATATCCAAAAGAAAAGAATTTCATTCAAAGTCATTATGACTTAGTCATATTTATTTAATTTTTATTAATTAATCATTATTAGTGATCATATTTTCATTCAAATCTAACTAATTATCGGACGTTTATGCTCACCATGCAGTTGGAATAACTTCAAAGAAGATTTCAAAAACTCATTAATAATTCATGAAGCAATAATCCAATCTTGAGTAAGAAATTAGTCACGTGCATACGTCTTTATACCAGCTAAAGTACACTTTATTATGCAATAATACAAAAGACGATTGTTATGCACACTATATAAAGATTTTTATATAAAGATTTTTATGTAAAGATTTTTCATATCTGAAATCTATTACCTGAACGTATCTATTGTTTACAATTAATATTCAGATTGACTTATGCAAACGTTTATGAAGCCATTTAAAAAACTCGCAGGTCGTGTTTTATTAGGTCTAAAGCCACTCGCGCTGCGCGCTCGTGGCTTTAAACCTAATAAAACACTCCTGCTCGTTTTTTAAATAGTACATCAAAAACATGAGATCATACAATGTTTAGAAAAAAAGCCAAAGAGTGGTCAGAAATATCGACTGGTCACAGTAAATAAAATCTTTCGGCCATTATTACTGCTATAAATACTATTCCTTATGCATTCTTTAAATGACTTTATTCATATATTTCTCAAAATTCTTGTTATCAAATATATGATATACCTGTATATTGTAGTTCCTCCTCGTATGACAGTATTAATACTCGTCCGAACGAAGGGCCTTTGCTCGAAACGTCGAAGGTGTCCTTGTACTTTTTAGGTTGTTGTATCTCTAACAATCCGAAGCTTTCTTATTATTGGCACTACCTCCACCTGGCACATATACCAACTGTGTTGTACTACCAGAGTTTGTATATATCATAATT